AGATGGTCAAGAGGACAAGCTGAAACAGATTCACGACACACAGTGGAGCAGGCTATTCGGAGGGGGGTGGACCAGGTCTTCGAGACTCGCTGACGGCGTTGTGTTCCCCCTTGGACAATTCCTTTGTTGCCGGGCCGTAAAGGAACGAGAGAACGAGAAGAGCGCACCGTGCTTATCACATTAAGGGGCCGTTTAGGTTGGAAGTGTTCGCCGGGATCGAAAGACTGCTTTGTCGAGAGGCTGGAGGATTATGGCGAGGGCGTGTTCCGCTGCTGGTGGTGACGGCGGGAAGGCTGGCTGAGACCGTGAGGGCGATCAAGCGGCGACGAGGCAGGAAAATTAGGGCAGATGGGATCCAGATAATAAATAAATAAAGGCAAAAAGGAGCGATGGAAAGAAGAGGAAGAAGAAGAAGGAAAGGAAGCTTGGAGGAAGAAGGGCTGGAGAGTCGCGAGGGCGAAGGTGAATGTCGGACGTTGAAGTTGAGGTCGAGGAACTTTTTGCGCTTTTTGGCGTTGTCGATGTTATTTTTTCCCCCTTTGGCGATGCTTGGCTTTTTTGGGCTGCGCACACAACAGACATCAGACGAGACATCAGACGAGACAGGCCAGGGGACAGCAAAGAAGGGAGACAGAAGGCTGTAGACGATGACAACGATGACGACGACGATGATGATGATGGAGATGGCCCTTTGCTACGGCCAGTCTACTTTCCAGTTAGTCTACGCATATAAACAAGGGCACAAGACACATAAGATCGGGCGATAGCTTCAGCTAACTAGTCAGTTACTGAGACGGAGACGTCCCAGCGGGGCTGGTCGTGATGGTATACAGGCTTCAAAGGCCGTTGCAATACTAGACGATGGCCGGCTGCGCAATTTGGAGGTTTCCTGGCGCTGTTCGCTGCGGGGAGCCGGCCATATCAAAGGCTAACGGCTGGCAGAGCACAGTCTTCGATAATACCGGTGGCATCCACTCGATTGATTAGATTCTTGCCGGTAATAACATAATAATAATAACGAGGGAGATCAAAAGTGCCGTCGGGAATAATTTATATCGGATGAGCTACGGTCCAGGATTAGAGGAGATCCCGGCCGGCATGCTGTCACAAGCAAATCAGCATGCCCACATTATATATATAACGGATCTCCCTGCTCTGGGAACGAAACGATCGATCGATCGATCAACCGAACACAAGCCATCGACAATTTCACCTGGCTAGAAGAGACTGAAGGACATTCTAGGACTATGCAGGTGCATTGTGGTCTATCTAGACTGCTATCTTTCTCCGTTTAGACGCCAGGACAGAGGCAGATCGAGGAATTACCAACTCTCAAACCCTCCTATGTTGCCCCAGGCAACACACAGAGGTCTGTCTCTTCCGCCGCCGGTAAGCTCATTTTTGTCCATATGATGCCATTGGAGATCTACCCTCTGGACTCCGTATGTATGCAAGAGACAGTTCCATCACGATGGAGACCATGTCGAAGTTGGAGCTACTGCACACCACTGTGTGATGCAGCAGGGAATCACGGCGCTGGTTCTCCCGGCTCTGTCCACTCAGAGGGTGCACACGGCCAAGGACGATAACTCTTGACAGGCAAATAATGGTGAACTGCGAGCTCTCGGCCAACAATAAAATAAATGAAACGATGCCAACCCTGCTAGAGGAGAGACGAGAGGAGAAGAAAAAATGGGCAAGGAAAAAGAAACACAGCATACTAGTTGGTTCCAAAACACCCAACACGACCGCCAGGCCAACCCGGCTATCCCACAAACCATGTAGAATTGCCTTTCCTCGCAACTGATCCCCCACCAAGAAACTGCAGAATTCAAAAATACTCCTTTTCACTGAATATGCTCCTGAAAATCTTACTTGGAAAGTTCCCCTGGGCCCTGATCTATTGAGAGGCGATCGCCACCTGATGCCGTGTTGTGGCTGTCCACGTTAATATCTAACGGCCGCCAAAGCATCATTCTTCCGGACGCCATGGCCAGGTTGAAGGTGTCTTCCTGCAGACAGTTGTGGTGTTTGTATAGAGGAAAGAGAAATTGTGTATCATCCACATCTGACCGCCTGAGACCAGGGTTAGTGGCCTTGAGAGGCTACATTCTTGTCCTGACGCCTCCTCTGACGCTACTCCTGCATATACCTCCTTCTCCTGCGCTTGGACTCGATGTTTCCTGACAGTTAAGAGCCGCTTTTGCAGGTTAGCTAAACCAAGAGGTGTGTCATCTGTCAGTTCGCGCTGCAGATCTACTCGTGTCGTAGTTGTGGACCTTTTCGTGTTAAGGTTCTGATGGCCCCCCTTCATGGGCCAAATATACTTATATCCATAGTAGCTCTCCCGCCGGCAATCAAGCTACTATCTTCTCTTCATATATATCTCTTTAATCCTTTTTTTTTTCTAGCCTCCCCTGTGTACTGCGTACAGGGACCGACATTCATTTTTTTCAATTCACATCCTAATGCTTCTATTATGCAGCTCCCTCCGGTGTCGGTTATTGCCTCCTGGCCTAAGCCCAATTATGACAATCCACCAGAGGTTCATGGCCCTGCCATCATAATCATGACAGCAATTTTCATGCCCCTGATGCTGGCCATCATCGGCATCCGTATATTCACACGCATCCGAATATTGAGAAGTTTTGGTTGGGACGATATATTCATCATTGCCGCTGCTCTTCCCACTCTCGGCTGTGGGATCATCACCACCACTGCAGCCATCACCTTGGGCTGGAACCGCCATATTTACGACGTTCCTATCTGGCAGCTTATTCTAGGCCTTCGACTGACGATGCTATTGGAATGTCTCTTTGCTACCGGCTGTACGCTCACTAAACTCTCGCTTCTATTTTTTACCCGGAAGATCATGAAAGGCAGTGGAAGTCCGGCGTTGCAGTGGACTGTGGTTATCAACATCTGGATCGTTGCTGTCGAACTTATTATCTTCATTTTGGTGGTCGTGTTTACTTGCAGGCATGTCTCCGTATCCCTTTACCCTAAAGGGTCACTGACTTGTCCAGGTCTGCTAACATGAGCCCACTCTAGACCGGTATCTCTCTATTGGACGCTGTCTATTCTGCCCCAGAACTGCGTCAACGAGAGTGCCCATTTACTAGCTAGCGGTGCAATTAACACCGCAACCGACATCATTGTTATTGTCTTGCCGATTCCCAGCGTTATGTCTCTCAGCTTGCCCACGCGGCAGAGGATCATTCTTATCCTCCTCTTTGGTGCTGGTTTCGGAGTCTGTATTGCCGGTGGTGTGCGTGCATACTACACCTACCGACTGAATATTGCCCACGACAAGACGTGGGAAGCCTACTACCTCTGGATCTCCGGTACCGTTGAACTCTACGTTGGTGTGGTATGTAACATCTTCTTCCATTACGTGGACAAGACCGCGAAACTAACAGCCAACAATAGATTGGGGCTTCGCTCGCATCATTACGGCCGTTCTTTGCGCGCTACTTCCCATCTATCTTCGGCAACCAGCGTGAGCGGGCATCGTACGCTTTCGCAAGTACAATAGCACGGCGCTACGGCTTCCGCCGTTCGAGCCGTGGTAAGCCAAAGCCCAGGAAAGTAAAGGAGGTCAGCGAGGCTACCACCGTTACCATGAACTGCGACTATGACTTTGACCTGGGGTACCTCCGCACCCAGAAGAGTGAGATGGGTCCGGTAGCTACAGGGTCCCGAGATGGGGCCGTAGAAGAGTCCAGCGTCGGCATGCCCCCCGCAGAAACGGCAACATGGACTGCGGCAACAGGGGCTGTGGAGCAATGATATGTGTTACGGCGTCCTGGAGTCAGGGGGTACATACAAACCCCTTTTCAATGGAATCCTTTTTAAACCCAAGCAAACCCGGTGCTGGTGTATAAAGCTGCAGAGTAATGGACGTTTCTGAGCCGCTGCCTGCAACGGCTCTTCAGGGGCTTCCTCAGCCGACGCAGCGCAAAAAAAAAAAAAAAAAACGACCTTCGCCGGCGCTTTCTTGCCTTGCAGTCGAAAATTACCCAAACGAGAATCCAGGCCAGTGATATTACGTAATATCACCATCTATATTTTTTATTTTATTTTATTTTATTTATTTTTTATTTTTTATTTATTTTTATTTTTATTTTTTTTTTTTTTTGGCTTTTCTTCACAATCAACGAAAAAAAAAAGAGCAGCAGCAGAAGAAGCAGAAGCAGAAGCAGAAAAAGGCGAAGAAGAAACGCCCGAGTGAGAATTGTCGAGATGCGACATCCAGCAGTTCATGTTCATGTTCATGTTCATGTTCATGTTCATCCGTCTTGCCACCGACTCCGTAACGCCGGAGGACCTTAGCTGGCTGGGCCCGACGAGCGACCAGCGACTCAAGCCAGCATACGAGAACCAACTAGCCAGCAAGGCCAGCACACTCCAGCGTGGCTCGCATCTCCACCGATCCCAGAACTGAAACTGCCAGCGCTAAGAAGGTAGAAGGCCCAACCACCACTGCTCGGCATCTGGGCTGGCAATTGAGGCAGATCAGCCACACCAGAGAAGAGCGTGAAACCCGACGGACAATACGAGGGCCCGATCTCGCTAATCTTTGCGTATCCATGAAGACGATCGATCGTGTCAACTCCAGGCGCATACGAAGGGTGTTGCACCGCGCCAGGCGAAGGAATCACTAGCTGACAGCGACGACTGGGATATGGAAGCTGGAAAACTCGATAAAGTCCGGACTAGAAGAAGCTCTAGCTTCCGATTGACCGTTAGTTACGGACTGGCCACTCCTCTGGGTGGGAGAAGAGCATTGCTAGAGTTGAGGCCAGATAGACGGGCGTAAGAGGAGCTGCCACCAGCTGAGCGTCTTATCTCTGGAGAGAGACAACTTTCTCTGCTTAATATGTCATTCATTGATGTTGTAGTTGGGGTTTTTCATTAGTGTTATTGCTTTTACAGAGCGCTGTATGACTATTGTTTTTAACATTTGCTGGTTGGCTTGTCTGTGACTCATCCTTTTGCTGGGATTCTCCATATAAAATGATAATTTTATGTTCCCCTCGAAGTTTTACCCCACTGCACACACTCTTTTTTTCTCTATCCCTCGATAACATCCAGCCAAAAAAAAAAAAAAAAAAGATTGAAGGATAAAATATAATAAAAAAGCAGGAGCAGGCAGGAAGAGGATCGGGACACAAGAGAGGCGGCCATGGCGAGCGCTACCAAAGACGTCTTCATTGACGAGGATGTCGGCCAGGACGATGATTCTGCGACGGGCACCGAAACCGCCGCATACAAGACGCTGGTCTACGCGATGCTGCTACACCCCGCCACGGCCGAGGCCCCAGTGCAGTACATGACCAGGAAGTCCGAGACAGGTCCTGTTGCTGAAGGAGAAGAGGCCTCTGTGCGCCTGCAGTGGAAGCCCGCAACCAAGTCGGCGCTCAAGAAGGCCGCCAACCTCGTCGAGCAACGCAAGAAAAAGGCGCTCAAGGAGAAGGAGCTGGCGATCAGGGAAAAGGAGGAGGCCGATAAGCGAAGGCTGGTGCTGGAGGAGGCGAAGAAGGTCGTCGTAAAGGAAGACGATTCGCTGCCCAAGCCGGTCAAGATCAGACTCAATGAGAAGGACCCCGCGGTCGTCAGGCCTCGAGCCGAAGGAGACAAGCAGCCGGGGACTCGTGTGCGTGTCGTTGGCAGAGTCCATCGGCTACGGGTGCAGAAGGACATGATCTTCTTGACGCTGACCGATGGCTACGGATTGCTCCAGTGCGTTTTTACTGGGGACCTGACAAAGACATATGATGCCATGACTCTTACTCTGGAGACCTCCATGGCCATCCATGGAGAGATGCGTGCCGTGCCTGTGAAACAGCATGCTCCAGATAACCGTGAGCTACACGCAGACTTCTTCCAGGTCATTGGGCGTGCTGCCGGCGATAAGGAGGCCATCACCACCCGTGTGGCCGCAGATGCTGATCCCCAGACCCTACTAGACAACAGACACCTCGTCTTGCGTGGAGAGACGTCCTCATCCGTTCTCAAGGTCCGCGCAGCTGTGGTGCGGGCGTTTCGGAAGACGTTTGAGCAGAAACAGATGCTCGAGGTCACTCCCCCAGCCATGGTCCAGACCCAAGTAGAAGGTGGAAGCACCCTGTTTGAATTCGACTACTACGGCGAGAAGGCCTATCTGACTCAGTCCTCCCAGCTGTACCTGGAGACCTGTCTCGCTTCACTAGGTGATGTCTTCTGCATCTGTCCGTCTTTCCGTGCTGAAAAGTCTCTCACCCGTCGTCACCTGTCTGAATATACCCATATTGAATCTGAGCTAGACTTCATTACCTTTAATGATCTCCTCGACCATATCGAGGAGATAATATGTAGTGTTATCGATATTTCGCTGGCTGATCCACAGATCGCCGCATTCGTCAAACAGCTCAACCCCAACTTCACGCCACCGGCCCGTCCCTTCAGGCGCATGCGTTACTCTGAAGCCATCGAGTGGCTGAACGAACACGGCATCAACAATGAAGAGGATAAGCCACATTCGTTCGGAGATGACATTGCTGAAGCTGCCGAGCGAAAAATGACCGATATCATCAACAAACCTATCCTACTCACCCACTTCCCTGCTGAGATCAAGGCGTTCTACATGAAGAAGGATGCAGAGGACCCACGTGTCACCGAGTCTGTAGACGTACTCATGCCCGGTGTCGGTGAAATTGTCGGTGGTAGCATGAGGATGGACGACTGGGACGAGCTCATGGGTGCATACAAGAAAGAAGGAATGGATCCTACTCCGTACTACTGGTATACCGACCAGAGAAAGTAAGTTTGCCCGCTGTGAGTGCGACTATGGAGTAGAAAGTGTGTGCTAACTATAAGTAGATATGGCACGTCTCCTCATGGAGGATACGGCCTTGGTCTTGAACGATTCCTTGCGTGGATGTGCGGACGATATACTGTCCGAGAATGCTCGTTGTACCCTCGTTTTACCGGCCGATGCACTCCATAAGCATAGCGTCAGTTTAGAATTTAAATGACAAGAATATGAAGAATGGAAAGTAGTTAGAGCAAGGGCTACAGAAATAGTGAAGATGCATTGTACTAGACACGAACAGAGACAAAATAATGTAACGCAAATGCGAATAGGTGCGGGAAATGGGGGTGCTTAATATATGCTACCCCCAAACTGATCGTGTCTTTCCATAGCAAGATACAGAAGGGCAAACTTCCCGTCACAACGGAGAAATGACCACTAATAATATACTTTGCGGACAACAAGGGCCAATCATTACTGAGTCTTTTCAAGGAAAGCTCTGTCTCCATGCACCATCACCGGGGCAAGAGCTGTAGACTTGGATTCGATCATGTCGTTCTGTAGTAGAGTGAATTTTTCATCCGGGCCCCTTTCAGACGGTGTGATGGGGCTATCATCCGCCGAAACCACCGTTGTAGCCGGGGAGTGAGTTAATAATGGCATATCACCGGCTTCCTTGTTGCCGGTAAGACAAACACCATTTTTATACCTTGGTCCAGACCGCTGCGAAGTAGTTGGTGTCTGCCCCGCTTGCAGGAACTGAGCGAGATATTGATATGCAGCCGTGAATTGAACTGGCTTGGATCGGGACTGACGTGTGGAAGACATTGTCTCCGGCTCTTGATGTAGAATGCTCAGCTGCGGCAGGCTAGTGGAAAGGGAAATGGTTGTATTTGGCAACGAGTAGAGCAAGCCAGGGTCTGAAAAGGAGCCGGTCCTCGCACTATGGTGATATGGATATGACCTGGGGATGGGAACCGGGGAGAATAATGAGGAAAAGGAAGATGTTGCCCGTGAGAAGAATATGGGCCTCGAAGGAGTTGCTAGAGGTTTTATAGAGTCTTGATTTCGGCACCTGGAGGACGAAACAAGAAGAAGAAAAGAGAGGTAGAATAAGTAAACATGCACTTCCAGGGAGAAGGGAAGAGAAAAAGTATCGAAGGTTGAAGAAAGTCCTACCTGTATCATTTGCTCGTGCGGAGCAAATGATACGGATAAGTCCGGACAAGGTAGAGAGAAGAAGAAGCGGAAGAAGAAGGGTATATCTCACCGTTGGCTACAGTATAGAATTGAAGAATCTGGGTTTGATATCATTCTCTCACACATGGCACTGCAAGGGAGAAGACGTTTTGAAACAAGCAGTTAGTAAGGCAAGTAAATATTGCAGTTCATTCTTCAACCATGTTTCATTCAACCATGTGTCATGCGTTCTCATGCATTATCTCCCTAACAAACGGTGAGGGAAAAGAAAGGAAGTAAAGGTTGATTCCATGTCGAACAGCATTGGCCCTGCACTACCGAGGACAGGGGTGAGGGAGGGAGAAGGGAAGGGGGGGTAGAGGAAAATGAAGACTCCTTCATCCATACCAGTACTGGCAAAAGCAGGTGGCCATCTGCGCTGCAACGCCTCTCTCCCGCCCCAGTTCCCAGCTGCTTGCAGGATCTTTCAGGTCAAGGCTGAGCAAGACTCCCTCTTATTTGTCTTGCCCTCTTTGGCATGCGCCGTTTAATCGCGGAACCGTCAGCCCTGGGATGCAGGCAGTGGCCCTAAGGCTGCTGACCTAGTGGTCGCAAGACAAGAAGCAATTTGTCCAGGTCCTTCAGCGGCGTAGAAAAAAAGAAAGGCAGAAGTAGAAGTAGGATAGTGTATATAATAAAGGGATAGGGGGAGGGAAACAAAATAAAATAAAACAAAAAAAAATAAAATAAAATAAGAAAAGAAACCCTTTCTGTTGTTATATAAAAAGGAACTTCCAGTAACGGCGAAGCACCGTACTTAAGCTTGGAAGACGAAGAATAACCTTGGGTAGATGCAGGCCAGTCAAGGAAGAAGAAGAGTTGTGGCCGCTGCTGATGACGATGATATATAGCTGAGGCGGTGAAACAAGGCCTCGCCCAGCGCTGAGTCACCCAAAACCAACGGTCTGAACTAGCCTAGACGGTCCATACCTGCTGCCATCGAGCATCAAGGACAAGAAAAAGGGGGTCGTGGCCTTCCTCCTGAGGCTCGGATCATAGGGGACCAGACCCGGTGGGACGGGGACGGCCTAAGAGAAGGTCAGGCGCTGTTCCAGCGTCCACAGTGGGCACCGGTCTCGTTCGGTCTTTTGCCTGCGTGTTCTGAAAATCTGTCCTGCCGCCTGTTTGTGCATCTCTCTGTCGTTCCCCAAGGGTCTCCAGTTGACGTTTGTCTGCCGTTTGAGACGTCAAGGGGAAAAGGAAGCAGAAGAAGCAAAAAAAAAAAAAAAGAAAGAAAAAAGAAAAAGAAAAAGGAACGAAAAACGTATGCTGGTCGCGTGACGCTCGAGTCCGACTCTATCCGGTCGAGAAAGGAAAGCTGAATAAAAGGGCTGAGAATTGACTCGGGTGAGCTCAAGGAGGTCAAGAGCATGAAGATCAATGGCAGAGACGACACTGATGATAGATGAAGATGAAGCTGAGGATCAAGATCAAGTAGATTCAGCGCCAACGCTAAGATGCACAAAATAGAAGTACAAAAAGAACGTGACCAAAGGTGACTTGGCGATACACCCTAGCGGCTTTGTTGGTTGGTCTATTATTATCATTGAGCAGCGGGCTTGTCTCCAGAAGCTGTCGTTGGCTTGCTATCGCCGTCTCCATGCTCGAACAGTTGCTGTGGTGGAGCGGCATTAGGCGCGAGAAACCTCTCTGGCACTCCTCTGGCGCCGACTCCTATCGGCCCAACGAAGCACCCAAATGTCCCGCTCCACGCATACCTGTATGCTAGCGCTTGGCGGATTTCACGGTAGGCAAGGGAGTTTGAGTAAGGGAGGCCGGTTGTTGGGTCACGGTAGCGGGCGGGATGGGAAGTAATAGGGCAAAACTCGGTTTGGGTTTCTACAGTCGCTTGTTAGTCCTGTTATAAGATTAAAAATGATAATTCCTCACACAGAGGGTTGCTGGGATATGGATGAAAGGGATGACGTACTGGGCAGCTTGACAGGTTTTTTCGGATTGTAGAGGACGCCAACATCACTTCGCTCGGGAGCTGTAGTTGCGTCGAAATTGTCTAGAACAATGCACGTCCGGGATGAGCGCTCAAGAGCCGGTTTGACCTTGCCCGGCTTCTCCTCCGCGTTCAACTCTTGTTCCGGACATATGGGTACGGTTTCTTCTACAGGCTTGTTGGGAGCTTGACCTTGACCATTTTCGTCCTCATTCCCCGGCTCCTTGGGGCTTGGGGCTGATTTTGTCACTTCATTCCCATGTGGCTCTTTGTTTGGCAATGCAATCGTTTCCGTAGTAGTTGTGACGGGTTTTGGTGCAGTGGATGTGGCGGTAGGGGCAATTTCGGCGTCAGGACACTCCTGCATGGAGGCGTATAACTGTATGCCATCTAGAAACAAGCTGGGTTTCCCAGGAGCTTGTTGCCCATCGGTAGGTTGTGTAGGCGCTATGTCTGTGGCATTATTGGACGCTTCTGTTCCTCTGTTTGCAGCATTCGCAGCAGGCTGTCCCTCACGGCTGGTTTCAACACTGGGACGACCCTTCTTCTTGCGGCCGGTATCAGCATCAGCAGCTTGTCGAAAAGACTTGACGCCCACCATTGCAAGTTTCTCGTTGATCCATTTAGCGATTCCGCTCCAGAACGTGATAACAGGTCCTTCCAGTCGTCGATTGTGCAGTGCCTCCATCTTCAGCCGCCGCTCTTCGCTTCGCTTCTCCTCCATCTCCTCCCACCGCGTCAGGCTGCCAAAATTCAACCTCTCAGTCTTTTCGGCTTCAGCAAGACGATCTGCCTGCGTCATTTGTTTCGGCCTGGCCTTCTCCTTGCGCTTGGCCGTCTCCTCCATCGTGGCAATCAGCTGAACTCGCTTCTGCTCGCTGCGTTTGAGCCGCGCGTGAGTTTGAACTCTGTTCTGCATAGTCTGGCGACGAGAAGACGCCCGCGTAGGCCCGTCATCTGCCGTAGGAAGCCATGAGATACGTTCTGATTTCTTTCTCAGACGTGGAGCCGGAAGTGTTGATTTTCGTGTGGGCAAGGTCGGATCTATCTTGACCTTTTTCTTGCGCTGGGAGGGCATCCGAAACCCTTCCTGCTGCGCTGTCCGTTTCTTTGCCCTCTCTGCCTTCTCCTGTCTCTGTAGCTCTTTTTCTCCTTCAAGCTCGTCGTTGCCAGCGCCAGTTGCGCCGCCTTCGTCCCCTTCATCCGAAGAGGACGAATCGATCTCCATGTCGTCTGCTGCAGCTTCTCCGCCCTCTTCCTCATCGTCCCCAGACTCAAACTCCTCGTCATCTTCTTCCTCCGCAAATATACGCGCCAGTTCATCGTCGGCTTCGGCGTCGAGCAGCGTGTTCATCAGACGGCCAGCCGTCGACCGTCGCGCTCGTCCTGTCGCAAGAGGCTCAACATAGTAGTCCTCCGGCCCGCTGCCGTCTTCCGCCTCAACCGGGGTTTCTGCCATGCTTTCCTATCAGTAACCAGGGCGCATCGTAGACGTTCTGCGCAGCTCTCGTGTCTCGTCCGTAGTGTCTGTTTGATAAAACGTCTAGAGAGGCCAAGGCGAAGTCGCGAATCTTATGATTATATAATAGAGTTAATTACATAATCCGCCACTTTATTCTGACCTTTGTCGCTCTGACATTATATAATTATTCCATAGGTATTATTATTATTATTATTATTATCAACTGCCCGTTGATGGATGTCAGCGAACGACGGCGAAGCAGAAGACAAAGAAGAGGGACGGGACGGGGAGGATAGAGCGAAAGACAGCAGGCTGGTGAGCTGGATCCGGAGAACTCTCTCTCTCTGGCTTGCGCTGGACACGACTGGACACGACACGCTCAGCCTGCTGCTTTCGGAGCGGACTCCCTCTCGTCATCTCAAAGCCACGCTCGTATGGAACGGAGCATGGAGGAGTCCAACGCAAGCTGAGGTTGGTTGGTAGCGAGCTGGGCGAGGAAGCACACAGGATAGGAGGTGTCTGCGACGATCCCTCTTTACTCAACGCCCGTTGAGCCAGCCTCGCAGGAGTCGAGAAGCAAGAGATAGACGTAGCGACAAGCTAGCTGTACGGAGTCAGAACACAGCATACGGTTTTGCCTTCGTCAGTCACAAAACTATGAAACGAAGTCCAAGCAGACGCAGCTCAAAGTATCAAGCTCTCGCTACCATGGTTTCATCCGTTCGTTCCGAGAACCGGCTGTGCGAGTTGAATCCGGGTACCTGCATCGAATGACACCACTCACCCCGTATTGCCCACCTGGTGTTTGCGCCCATCTCGGCCACCTTATCGTCTGTCAGTTCGCGGAGAGGCGCGCCTATGGGACATCTCTAATAATGTGTCCAGTTTCAAGGACAAGAGAAAAGACAGTAACTCTGTAAACTGAGTTGAAGCTATGTTTGACCTCTCCACCCACCAGCACATCGCTCCAGGCATCGCGACGTCCCTGACTTTCCCCCATCAGGCTCTAGTGGTAATTAAGACCCACGGGTCCTACCCACCAATGGGCCGGGATGATGTCGTGAGGAATTTTTCTCCAGAACATCCAGAAAAAGTACTTTCCGTGGGCACCACGGCGCCAGACGTTGATCTACTTCGCTTGCCAGTGCGAGGCCAGGAGACCTCTGGCCTGAACTTGAGCTGAGCCAGGGCAGTCAGTGGATACGGACAGCACAGATGTATTTATGGAGGTTATGCTTGCACACATACATGCATACATAAAGTACATGCATACTTTCGCCGTACATCAAGGGTACATCCATTGCCGCTGGGGGTTTTGTCTGTGCCCTTTGATGCTATACAACAGCAGCAGGAGGAACAGAGAAAGGAGAAGAAGGCCTGCAAACGATAACCACATGGCACGCTCCCCCTTTAGTTGCCGCGGCGTCTCTATCCCTCTCTCTCTCGCCTGCCTGCCTGCCTGCTCCCCTCCCTCTCCTCGTCCTCCTGGCCCTCCTCTGGTTTCCTCGCGCTGCCCTCCTGCGCTGCCTCACGGCAAGCCAAGCGCCCATCATCCCTGGTATTTTTTTCGTATTGAGGCAGGTACCAAATACCAGTCCCGGGGTGCTGGTAGCCCGGCGCTACTGGCGCTGTCGCTGCCTGTAACTTTGGTAATCGCATACGACTAGTCCCTTCTCCATCCACTTCTTTTTTTTCTTGCTTTCTTCCTCGTACATTCTCTTCTCCCTTTTTTTCCCCCTG